TTTAGCAAATTTAAGCACTTTTTAAGTACTTTTCAAGACAGTAATCAAATTCAAGGACTTTTAAGCACTTTTTTACAAATTTAAGCACTTTTTAAGAAAAGGACTCAAATTTAAGCACTTTTTAAGACTGTAAGAACCCTGCCTTAAAAGGGCAATCAAAACAATATGAGTAAACTTGATAAAAAACTACCCAACAATGCTTCAGACAAAGTTTGGTGATCATCCATCCATTAGTTCTCTAGAAATAGACATTTAAAGGTATTTCTATTTTTAGCTTCAGTGGCCCCTAAAAGGAGCCAATCAAATTCATATGAGCAAACTTAATAAAAGACTACCCAATAATGCTACTGACAAAGTTTGGTGATCATACATCAATTAGTTCTCTAGAAATAGACGTTTAAATGTATATCTATTTTTAATTTAAGCAGCCACTTAAAGGGGCCAATCAAATTCATATGAGCAAACTTGATAAAAGACTACCCAAGAATGCTACAGACAAAGTTTGGTGATCATCCATCAATTTGTTCTCTAGAAATAGACATTTAACGGTATTTCTTTTTTTAGCTAAAGAGACCCCTAAAAGGGGCTAATCAAATTAATATGAGCCAACTTGATAAAAGACTACCCAAGAATGCTTCAGACAAAGTTTGGTGATCATCCATTAATTAGTTCTCTAGAAATAGACATTCAAAGGTATTTCTATTTTTAGCTTTTGCGGCTCCTAAAAGGGACCAATCTAATTCATATGAGCAAACTTGATAAAACACTACCCGAGAATGCTATTGACAAAGTTCGGTGATCATCCATCAATTAGTTCTGTAGGAGAAGATGTTTAAAGGTATTTCCATTTTTAGCCTTAGAGATCGCTTAAAGGGGACAATCAAAATATTATGAGCAAACTTGATAAAAGACTACCCAATAATGCTACAGACAAAGTTTGGTGATCATCCATCAATTAGTTATCTAGAAATAGACATTTAATGGTATTTCTAGTTTTAACTTTAGCGGCCCCTTAAAGGGGCCAATCAAATTAATATGAGCAAACTTGATTAAACACTACCCAACACTGCTTCAGACAAAGTTTGGTGATCATCCATCCATTAGTTCTGTAGGAGATGTTTAAAGGTTTTCCTATTTTTAGCCCTAGAGACCCCTAAAAGGGGCCAATCAAAATAATATTACCAAACTTGATAAAAGACTACCTAAGAATGCTACAAACAAAGTTTGGTGATCATCTATTAATTAGTTCTGTAGAAATAGACGTTTAAAGGTTTTTCCTTTTTTTTAGCTTTAGTGGCCCCTAAAAGGGGCCAATCAAATTCATATGAGCAAACTTGATAATAAGACTCCTTAAGAATGCTACAGACAAAGTTTGGTGATCATCCATCCATTAGTTCTGTAGAAGAAGATGTTAAAAGGTTTTTCTATTTTTAGCCCTAGAGACCCCTAAAAGGGACCAATTAAATTAATATGAGCAAACTTGATAAAAGACTACCCAAGAATGCTACAGACAAATTAGCTCTGTAGAAGATGTTTTAAGGTTTTTCTATTTTAAGCTCTGCTGACCCCTAAAAGGGGCCAATTCGAATGACATGAGCAAATTCAAGCGTGACTGTCACAAGGATGCAACAGACCAAATTTGAAGTAAATCTGCTTCGTAGTTTTAGAGAAGAAGATTGTTGACGCATGACGATGGACGCTGGAGCATCCCCCTTTGATACTAATAGCTCACCCTGAGCTCTGGTGAGCTAACAAGATTGCATTTGTGAACAAGAACGTGTTTGTTAAACACAAATGCCCCCGGCTCAGATTCTTGTCAGTAGCAATATTTCAAACAAGAGGGCCATGATGGCCCTGGATCGCTCACCTGACACGACCGCATCCAAGCAATGTCTTAAACAAGCAATTATCATAGTATTGCAAGCAATCCAGAAGTCCCCTACCGGTTAGAACCCCAGCAACTTTCTGATGGGCCATTGGCCAACTTTCTGATGGGCCAATGGCCAGTCAATTTTACCAGTTAATGAATGACATGAATGAACTTAAATCTTTTGAGTTCTAAGTTTGTCTATATCACAGTAATGTGTTAAGTTTCCCTGCCTAGTAAGGAAATTATGTTTATACAACCTTGTCATATTATTACGATGTGGGATTTTAAAGTAAATCCTATAATGAATGAAGAAGTTGGAGTGAAAAATACCAATTTCTCGAAAAAAAAAAAAAGTTCAAGGGGGACATAATTCTGGAAATAGTCTTGCTAGAGTATTTAACCTTCTCAAAAATGTTGAGTGATAATAAGAAACACTCTAGTGGCTGCAGTTTCGATCCAAATTTCCTGGAGATTGGTCATATATTGAATTCCAACCATTAGTTTTCAAGTTATGCTCCGGACAAGGAAAATGCAACGGACGTCTGGACCGACCGACCGACCGACCAACCGACCACCGGGTGACTCCTATATACCCCCCCAAACTTCGTTTTTGGGGGTATAATAACATCTGTATATAGAATTAGGTCAATACACCTGTAAAAATGTAAAAATATATTTTTAACATTGGTGACCTTGACATTGTTAACATTGACCTTGAACCATATGACTCCTTACTACACCCAAAGAAGGAGGATTGTATTAAACTAAGACATCACATAAAATATAAAGGCTGTATGAGCAAAAATGTTTATATTTATTTTTTAAACCAGTGACCTTGACCCTAGAGACCGCTTACTCCACAAAAAATTAGAGGACCATCAAAGGTATCCACCTACTAAATATGAGAGATATCATTAAAGAAATTAAGCAATTAGGAAAATTTAAGATAAATCCAACTTGCTGAAATAGGTTAACCAGACAAGGCCCTATTTTCAAAGTGAAAAAAGGGAAATAACTGGGAAATATGGATGACACAGTTATATTACTTGGCAATATCATGTACTTTGTATTGACAAGTAAGTGTGGAAATTATAAAGCCATTAGTATAGATAGAACTTAAGATATTTCCAATTTGCCGTTTTAGGTTAACCATTATTCATTTTTTAAGTGCTGAAAAGGGCAATAACTTGGTAAATATGAAAGCCAGAGTTATGTAACTTGCCCAGATCATGTACTTTGTATTGATTAGTAAGTGTGTTAACTTAGAAGCCATTGGTACAGGTAGAACTTAAGAAAAATCCAACTTGCCGTTCTAGGTTAACCTCGTACGGACAGACGGTTCAATCACTATATGCCCCGGGGCATAAAAACACCTTTTTATCAAAAAAAATATTCAACCGGAAAACCCGTGCAATATGCGAAAGGACATGAGCTACAGATCAATCCTGTAAAGTTTCATTCAAATTACATTAGTGGTATAAGAGAAGTAGTCCGGACAAACTTTAAAAAAAAATTATTAAAGGGCCATAACTCTGACAAAAATCACTGAACCGGAAAATGCTGACAATATGCACAACTAGACTTAGTACTGATCATTCCTGTAAAGTTTGGATGAAATTGCACCAGTAGTTTATGAGGAGTAGTCCGGACAAGTTTTGTGACGGACGGACAGACGGATGGACAGACAGATGACGGAGAAGTGATCCCTTTATGTCGCCACTACTCCATAGAGGCAACACAAAAAGTTGACGCATAGACGGACAAATTTTAATCACAAAAGCTCACCTTGAGCACTTTGTGCTCAAGTGAGCTAAAAAGTTGTGGACCAGACAAAAAAATACACCTTGTAATAGACTATGTTAATCTTTGACCTCATACTGTGACCTTGACCTCTGAGGTAGGCCACTGGTTTTTACGCATGACACATGGTCTTATTATAGTGAACATTTGTGCCAAATAATTTCAAAATGAACTAGAAATGTGTCCATAGGACACGGATGCCCCCACACGCCACTGTTCTGTCAATCTTATGACTCTAGTTCAAATATTTTTTGGATTACATGTGCCGCAAGTTGAAAACTAAAAATCAACAAAGGGCCATTATTCTGTTTAATTTGGTCGCAGCAAAAATTCCTTCCTTTACTACCATCTACACATTAACCTTGTTAATCCCTGGAAGTTTAAGCAAAATCTGCCATCCGGTTTAAGAGGAGTTGCGTTCACAAGATTTCGGGACGTATGGACGGACGGACTTACTTAGCAGACGTGTTTGTGGGGTTATTCCTTTGATCTCTTAACCCCACAAGAGCAAATTTTTTTAACCCCATAAGAGCATTTTTAACCACATAATACATGTCTCTACGGAATGAACCCCATACAGAGTGCCTGTACATAAACCTAAACCTCATAATGTAGCTCTCGTCTGCTCGGACTGACTGACGGACGGACAAGTGCAACGCTATATGCTCCCACATTGTGGGGGCATAAAAAGTTAAGGACTGGACACTAAATATACCCTGTGACTGTTAATCTTTGATCTTCAACTGTGACCTTGACCTTGGAGGTAGGGGTCCTGTTTTTGCGCATGACACATCGTCTCATTATTATGAACATTTGTGCCAAGTATTTTCAAAATCCCTTCATGGATAAGAAAGTTATGAACTGGACACGACATATAGGGTTCAAATAGACACCAAGTGTGATCATCATTGACCTTGGAGGACAGTAGGGTCCGGTTGTTGCGCATGACACAACGTTTCATTATAACAAACATTTGTGCCAAGTTATGTCAAATTCCTTTGAAAAATGACATAGTTATGGACCTGACATGAAATGTGACGGGAGGACGGACGGAGCCTATTTCTATATCCCCCTTTTCTCTTTGAAAAGACGGGCAACAAAAATCATCACCATCCCAGATGCGGCAATCAATATATTGTGCCAAGACCGCCATTTTGGTTGTTCAATTTACCTCCCTTTTTCCTGACAGACTAATTCCCGTACCTTCCTGGACTTTTTTATGTAAGAACACTAATTCCCCACTGACAGACAGATGGAGGCCATTCCTATATTAAGGGATTAACAAAAGCATATCTAAGTCACAAAGTTCAAACTATTAAAGATTTCTTACCTATAGTGGGGATAGTGGTAACAATTTCTCCTAATTTTAGCTTGTACAAAATTGTAGTTTTACCAGCCGCATCCAACCCCACCATCAAAATTCTCATCTCCTTTTTCCCAAACAAACTTCTAAACAGGGACTGAAATGCACCCATTCCGACTGCCTTTTGTTTTCACTTCTTCAAACTGAAATAAGGAAATCTGTTGTCCTACAATGTCTGCTTTAGTGGATATATCTTCAAATATCTTTTTTTACAAGAGCTCATGATTCTACCAGTGTTCTATGTTCTACTAACAACTAAATCAGCCACACTGATCTACCCCTATATGTCGCCTTTTTCAAAAAAAAAACACCCGGTTGAACCGGGTGATGCTCCCGAAATAGGTTTTGGACACAGGAAGGTGTCAGAGTTATGTCACAGACAAAGTTTAAAGTATAAAAACAACACATATGTTGTGCGCAACACATCATCTCAATATGGTGATCATTTCTGTAAAATAGTTGTAAAATCCAACTTCAATAAACAAAGTTATGGGCCAGACACGATTTAGCTGCAAGGTCATCCTGTGACCTTGACCTTCAAGGTAACAACCAAAATGCTGCGCGCAACACGTCATCTCAATAATGAATATGGTGATCATTTCTGTGAAATAGTTGTAAAATCCGACTTCAAATAAAGAAGTTATGGGCCGGACAAGATTTTACTGAAAGGTAATGCTGTGTCCTTGACCTTCAAGGTAGCGACCAAAATGTTGCGCGCAACACATCATCTCAATATGGTGATCATTTCTATGAAATAGTTGTAAAATCTGCCTTAAAATAACAAAGTTATGGGCATGACATGATTTTGCTTAAAGGTCATGCTGTGACCTTGACCTTCAAGGTAGCGACCAAAATGCTGCGTGTGACAGGTTGTCTTAATATGGTGATCATTTCTGTGAAATAGTTGTAAAATCCAACTTCAAATAAAGAAGTTATGGGCCTGATACATTTTTCCTGCAAGGTCATGCTGTGACTCTTAATATGGTGATCATTTCTGTGAAATAGTTGTAAAATCCAACTTCAAATAAAGAAGTTATGGGCCTGATACATTTTTCCTGCAAGGTCATGCTGTGACCTTGACCTTCATAGTAGCAACCCAAATGTTGCATGTGACATGTCATCTCAATATGGTGATCATTTCTGTGAAATAGTTGTAAAATCCCACTTCAAATAACGAAGTTACGGGCCGGACAAGAATTTGGGAAGTACATACATCCGTACGAACCCAGAGGTACTTGTGTGACTTTGAGAACAATGGGAAACAGTAAATTCTCTTTGATCCTATTCATTTCGTTTTTACTTGTGTGTCTTTTTTTAAGCCTTGTGTGACTAAAAATGGTCAAAAAGATCAAAGGAAAATCACATAAGTACCATTTTGTGAGTACGTACATATGTACTGCCCAAATTCTTGTCCGGCCCATAACTTACTCACAAAATGGTACTTATGTGACTTTTCCTTTGATCTTTTTGGCCATTTTTAGTCACACAAGCATATAAAAAAAAGACACACAAGTAAAAACGGAATGAATAGGATTAAAGAGAATTTACTGTTACCCATTGTTCTCCAAGTCACACAAGTACCTCTGGGTTGGTACGGATGGACAGACAGACACAATTCCTATAATCCCCTTTCCGCTGTGCGGAAGGGAATTAACAATTTTCCTTTTGGTTACTCTATTTTTTTTTCATTCGCAAAAATATGTGACTTATTAAAATTTGTCTTCTTTCCTGCAGAAACACTCCCAATGCTAGTTATTGTTGATTTTGATTATATGTTGATTTTGATTATATCAAATTAAATATTTTATGATTATTTTTAGATTGCTATTCATTGGCTTTTTAAACAGTCACTGGAAAACAAAATTTTCAAATTTGTATTTACACCAAAATTTGCCATGTTGATGTAACGTTTTGAGCTGTTTTAGTTTATTTGACTTTTCCAAAATTGGTCTTGTGTTAGTCAATATCTTTTAAGTTCTTTAACAAATTACATTTTTTACTATCAAACAGGTCATAGATATTTCAAGCTGTTTGAAATTGAATTCAGACACATGGAAAAAAATCGCTCACTTTGAAAAAAAAACTCTACACTCGGCAACTTTTACTAGGTAGCGTAGGGTTCCCTGAAACGAAGATTTTTTTTTAGGCCAAAATAATGACAAATTCAAAAATATTACCTTGTAGATCAAGGTCATTTAAAGGTAAAAATCAGTTCACTTTTTAGAAAGTCTTGTTTAAAAGATGTTTTGTCTGATTATGAAGATACTCCAATTATTAATTACCAAGTTATAGTTTACTAGAAGGGTTTTTGTCACAAAAACATTATGTCTCCCAAAACTATGTATTATGGTCACTCATGTGAAGTTTCATTGAAATACTATCAGTAGCTTGACCTGTAAAAGACAGACACATTTTCTTTTTATAGCTATGGTGGCCATTTTGTGCAGCATAGCAGAGCATGCCGACGATGTGCACAACTAGGGATGGTACTGATCACTCCTGTGAAGTTTGGTTAAAATCCCACCTGTAGTTTGACCTGTGAAGGCTGGACAAGAATATTCTATTTTTAGCTAATCATTTTGTGCATTGAAGAACATGCCAGTATTGTGCACAACAAGGGATGACACTATGTAAAGTTCAGGGTTCTCGGGGACGCTTATTTGGGCGTCCCGGTACGCATGTTTATTACAGCTGGACGCAAATATTTCAGAGCAAGGATTCCACGTACGCTTAATTTTGCCTGGGGACGCATAAACATTACCGATTGTTTACAACCACAAATACACAAATGCGTCAGCGCGTGTCAGTCTATAGGTAGGCGGTCCTATGCACATCGACCCGTGAAGCGATTAGCCAATCAGCGATAACGCTTCCAATCATTATCACGCAATAGTGATCAGACTAATGTATATACACGCGCTGTACAGTACATGTAATTACCAGATATAACACGAGGTGATAATTTTATATCTTTGATCAACAGTTGATTGGAAATAAGCAAATTTTACTGACAAAAGGATAAAATTATAGACTATTTATGCCTGTTTTCTCAAATTACAAATGAGTGTAATTTTGAATGATTGTCGAATATTTTCGGCATTTTCTAGGCACAATTTTGCTTTAGTTTCATTCTTGCAAAAACTTTCTATAAGAGTATTAAGAATTTAAGATATTGTGCCGAAATGCCAGGACAACAATCCAAAATACACATACGCTTTTCTTTGATATTTAGATTCTATCCGAAAATTGATCCCGAACATCGGCGATTTCACGTTCGCCAGAAACCCTAAAATTTCACAAAAATTCTCGGTTTCCAAGCCAAACATGCGAATGAATTGTTCCTTTATTATTTAATCAACATTAAATCTTTAAATATCGATCTTCAATTTGCCCCCTTTTGAAGATATTTGCTAAAATAATTGTCGATCGTATGATTCTTTTACACACTATGTGAAGCTGTACACGATTTTCCTATTCATTCCCTAAACGCTGCCTCTATACAGTTAACGTTTTTTTTTACAAATATAAACTTTTTGTTTTTAGAGTGGACTTATTTAACCAGAATAAAATTTGATTTGGTATAAAAGTGAAAAAAAAAAACGATTTCCATGTGTTGATGCATTATAATGAAATAATTTCATAATAAATATTAACAACAAAACAATAATTACACTATGTAGTTCAGAGTTTCTTTTGAATAACTATAAACTTTGGAAGTCTCTTGAAGATTCAAAATATTAGCGATGCTATTGTGAGCATTGAATGACTAATCTGTAAACATATTAATTGCGACGCGCTTTTGGACTCCAACTTTTTCAGGGTTGGGAGTCCATGGACTCCATGTTTTAAAGTCCTAGTGAGAACCCTGAAGTTGTGTTGAAATCCCACCAGTAGTTTGACCTGTGAAGAGCGGACAAGATTTTTGTATTTTCTGATCGCAAAATCAGTAAATACAAAGCTAACATCCACGGTCTAACACAAAATTTCCTTACAGACCTAACAACGCAAAGTAGTTCTCACTCAAAACTGCTTAAAACCAGTTATTTAAAAGAAAGAATAATTTTTAATGTAGGCATTTAACGAATTACAGTGCATTAAAAGTTTAGATTAGTCAATAGAAATATGATGTTGCAATCACAAAATTCGCGGATGAATATCTTTTTTACCCAATGAAAACTAATTGGCTATTTCCGTAAAGCTTTATCAATGAAAATGCTATTTTTAGCTATGTTGATTACCCAATACTCCAGAGCGTAGTACACAAATAAATCTGACTGTCGAGTAGTGGAATATATACATGTCGGACTATTTTGGCGAGAAGATTTCGCTAAATTATTTTCATCAGTGTTAAACAACAGGTTTATCGTGAACAAAATACCTCGAAATTAATAAGGATTACAAACGCGAAATGGAAATTCTCAATTTAGAATTACAATGTATTTGTTTTTAATTAAGCTACATATGTATTACTTCACCGTGGTGCAGAGGTAGCGCACTCGTTTAGTGTGTGAGAGGCCTTATGTTCAAATCCTAGTCGAGGCAACTTTTTTTTTTTTAAGTGTTTTTTTAAGGAAGTAGCCACGGTATGCAAGGATAAACTGTTGCTGTCATAAAAAAATGAAAAATGATTTTTTGATGCAACTAGTCATGCAAAATTCCATATGTATCAATCTCAAACTGTTATAGAAAAAAAATCTAAACGCAGTCGCTGCGTAAGATGAATTATAGTATATAAAAATAAACATATAGAGGAAAATAAATACCGATTATATATAGTCAATATAATTTAGATTGCAAAGATCAGAAAATACCACAGAGCTTGCAGCCCTTTGATTCTATTTTTAGCTCTGACAGCCTTTTTGAGCAGCGAAGCGGAACGTGCCAGTTATGTGCACAACTGCAGATGGTACTGATCACTAGGGGTGTAACAATACAGCATAAACCTTATTGCAATATATTGCCATTTTGCTGAAGCGTATTGCAATATATTGCAATACGTATTGTCATCTTTATGTTTTGATGTAAAGATGGAGTAACATTTATATATTATTACTATATGTATATATTTTTAGTAGAAACTTAATAAAAATGTAAGAAATAAATAGAAAGTAA